CATCAATCAAATGAGTAACCTAACCGCTCCATTCGATAACTCCGCAACAGAACTGAACAAACAAACTTCTTTCGTTCGTGGGAGAGCGGGCGGGCAGGAGAGCGGGCACGAGAGGTAAAGGGGGCACCGGTACGGCGGTACCTCACATGATTCATCAGGACGGAACGGGATTCTTTCTCACGTAGGTAGGTTATGTGTGATTGGGGGGTTGAGGCTGAGGGTTCTATCGTCGTCGTCGTCGTCGTCGTCGTCGTCGTCGAGGAAAGTACCTTAGTATAAGACCGAAAAATCGGAATGTGTGATCCTGGATGTTAGGATGTTGAATGCTCAGCTCCGCGTATCGAACGGAGCCGTTCGGCTTGGCTCAACTCAACTCAACCCAATTCAACTCACCGGCGGCACGGCAAGAATGGGCATCTACCAATGGATTTCGACTTGACTTGAGACAGTTTTGAGCAACTTGGTTTCGGTCAGATAGATATCCAGTAGTGATAAATCGACTGTGAAATGAAGGTTTGACCCGACCCTACGTTTAGCCCATCTCAGCACAGCTTATCATCGGTTTTGTTTTGTGTGTCTCGAGGTCGTTGTCTGTGTCTGTGTCTGTGCCATAACACATGATGACTTTGACGAACGGCACTGGGTCTGGACGGATTAGGACGAACGACATCACGCCACCCCGCACCGCACTGATTTACACACCGACCTTACCTTGGGTTATACATCATTAGTTGAGCAAGCGAGAAAAGAGAGAGGGACGACCAAACCCATCTCCTGAATTTTCCATGATAGGTGTCACAGCAGGCATTCATCCATACATCCATCCAGGAAAGGAATGTTGTAGTTGTAGTTGTAGTCGCAGCGAAAGTGACTGGTTCGAACGGGCTTGGTGAACGGGTTCCGTGGATGGATGATCCCATCCTCCAATCGGATCGCATGGACTACTTTACGTGAGCGAGAATTACCAAACAGCTTGACCAAATGCTCGGTTGAAGGTTGTTTGGTTGTGCCGAACGTTGTGGTCAAGTGAGCAACAGCCAAGCAGTGGGAAAGATGAAAGATGTAATAGAAAAATATTTGTTCTCGCTCCCTTTCCAACCGAACTTCGCTTTTGACTATAAACCATGCTCCGCTCCCATACCATACCAGACAGCCCCGTAATGTTGATATTCCAAACTCCATCCTTCATCTACATCCCTTTATCGCCCGACGATGATGCCGTACAATGCCATACTTGATGATCCTAAGGACACAAACAATCCCCGCGATTCAATGCAAAACTCGTCGTCGTTAAGTACTTGATAATTCTTCTTTTTTTCCTCATTTCATACTTTCAGACCACTCTCCAAGTTTCTCTCTTTCTAATCCTGTCTATGCATTCCACTTCTATATACAGACAAAAAAAAAAGCAGAAGATGATGTCTTTTGAAATATTGCAAACACCCCGTCTTTTATTGGTATCCTTTTTTCCGATTCGATTTAATAATCATCGGTTCCCATTCCCATTCCCATTCCCATTCCCATTCCCACATATCGATGTGACAAAGACCTAAACCGCCCATTTTTGTTGGTTTCCTGGAACATATTGATATGATATACCTTCCCAGATTTCTATAGCAATCCGTGCATGTCCCCTATGGGGACGTAGTGCTGAGCGTGGTCAGGCTATGCCAAACCGATCGAATCTTGTCGCTGCCTGGTTGTGGCATCAAGACGCTTTCTCATCCACACGACATGGATGATGATGGGCAATAGGGCGACTCTTAACTCTTTATCCGTCCACCAATTTTCTTGGGATACTTAGTTGGTCTTGGGGAGCTTGGCAGGCTTGACGCCAAGACCGTTCTGGTTGCGGTAGAACAAGACGCCCTTGCCCTTACCCTCAGCGCCCTCGGTAGGCTCAACCCACTGGCACCAACGAGCAGCCTTCCACATGGACTTGATGAAACCGATGGAGCCATCCTCGACGTCAGCGCGGTAGTGACGGCCCATGACCTTCTTGATGGCCTCGGAGGCCTCGTCGGCGTTGTAGAAGGGGATGGTGCTGACGTAGTGGTGGAGGACGTGGGTCTCGATAATGCCGTGGAGGAGGTGACGGCCGATGAAACCGAACTCGCGGTCAATAGTCGCGGCGGCACCACGGACGAAGTTCCACTCCTCAGCGGTGTAGTGGGGAAGCGAGGGGTCGGTGTGCTGGAGGTAGGTGATGGCAACGAGCCAGTGGTTGACCCAGAGGTAGGGGAGGAAGTACCAGACGAACATGTTGGACCAGCCGAAGGTGTTGCCGAGGTAGACGAGGGCGGTGACGGCGAGGGCGATACCGATGTCGGAGACGATGATCCAGGGGGCCTCACGCTCATCATAGATGGGAGAGTTGGGGTTGAAGTGGTTGACACCAGTGAACCAGCCGTTCGTCTTGCCCTTGCCACGACCCTCGCGCTGCTTCTCATGGTTGTTGTGGCCGGTGACGTTGGTCATGAGGTAGTTGGGCCAGCCAATGAGCTGCTGACCGATAAGGTGGATCAAGCTGTAGATGGGGGTCTCCTCGGTCAACTCGGAAAGCTCGTGGGCGAAACGGCCCATGCGGGAAGCCTGCTGCTCGCGGGTGCGAGGAACGAAGACCATGTCGCGCTCGATGTTGCCGGTGGCCTTGTGATGCTTGCTGTGGGAGAACTTCCACGAGAAGTAGGGGACGAGAAGGGCGGAGTGGAGGACCCAGCCGACGGTGTCGTTGATCAACCTGGAAGGAGAGAAGGCCTGGTGACCGCACTCGTGGGCAAGAACCCAGAGACCGGTGCCGAAAAGACCCTGCATGAAGGTGTACAGGCCCCAGAGGACGACACGGGCAGCCTTGAGAGGGATGTACTCGGGAGTGACATATTTGTTCCAGACGTAAAAGGTGACGGCGAGGTAGATCATGTCGCGAGCGACGTGCGCCAAGCTGCGAAGAGCCGAACGCTCGTAGCAGTGCTTGGGGATGGCATCGCGGATGTCCTTGATGGTGAAGTCGGGGACCTCGAACTCGTTGCCGTAGGTGTCGAGCAGCTTGCCGAACTCGGCCTTGTCGGTCTTGACGTTGTCGGAGGCCAAGGAGGAAAGCGAGGTGTTGGAGGCCGAGCGCTCAAGGGGAGAGTCGAAGGGAGAGACATCGGCGGACGAGTCGGAGGTGGCCTCGGTTTGGGTCCTGCGCAGGGCAGGCTTGTTGCCCGCGGGAAGGGCAGAGGAGACGGACGCCATCTTGGGAGGTGGAATTAATCGACTGAATTGGATAGTCGAAAACAACCTTTATCTGCCTGATGTCACAAAGCGGACTGGATCAGAAGCGTCAGCAAAGAAGACTCATATGTAATGGCCGAGGTTGGGCACAGTCGTGGTGTTGGTCGACTCTTCAAGGAAGAGGTTGGAGGTGCATGGAAAATACCGGGAAGGGATGCATGATGGAAAATGCTTACCGTCAAGGACTTGTTGGAGACACAACCGAAACAACACACAGGGAAGAGGAAGGTTGGTGGTGAGCCCAATCTCTAAATCCAAGTGGAAAGCCTGGGAGAGGATGCGTGAAAAGAAAAAACAATCAAAGTCTTTGGACGGGACCCCGGAAAAATTGTGGTGCTAGGCGTGGGTCGATTGTTTTTGCCCGGTGGATGATTTGTTGGGATTCCCGATGTTACCGGGGCTCGGTCCGGGATGGGGGGATGTAACCTGGAGAATGGAGAGGGACCAAGACTTTCCACTTGGAAGGAAGGCTTTGGGTTTGACAAGGCCGGTTGTTTCTGGTTTTTATATATACCAGGTGAACCGTGCTTCGACATGGCGAATACTTGGAGGAGGCACCTTACGGCGCTCCCGCCTCTACCGCCCTGTCCGTCGATCATAGGTACCTAAAACAAACCCAGACTGCGGATACAGGAGGCAGTATCGAGACTCGTCCAGGCCTTTTGGCCACTGCACTGCTGCGAAGCATTTTTGTTTCCAAAAGTTTGAGACCTGACGCTTGGTACACATGCACTGGTGACTGGATCCAGAGTTGGGCGCCTCGCCCGCTTTTACGATAAAAGCTCTGGCTGCCATGCATGCTCTAGTCTGGTCCCTCTCAGCAGCCATCAGTGCGAACCTGCACAGGTTTTTCTACGTCTGCCAGTTGTGCATCGTGTCTACGTTATATCACTGCACTGTAATCTTTTCCACCGCTTTTGGGAATGATATTGAGATGCATTGAGGTCCAATCTTGGATGGCAATCTGGAGGTTAGTAGATTGTGGAGAGGGTGGTCGCAAGTACCTCCAAGTACACCTTAACATTCACATGCCAGTCTGTGTCGGCTGTGAGCTGAAACAAGGATTGGATGGTTGGAGGGGGGCTGAGGGGGGATTTGCGTCCAGCTGGAAAAGGGTTGAGCGAAACCGCGCCGACTTCACCCAAACTAGCCAACGACAGTACGACATACTGGGATTGGCGAGATAAAAAGAGAGACACGCAGATGCTTTGCAGGCTCTCCGACAAGCAACTGATTGGGTTTTGAGAACATATTTTGTTGTCGTGGCATTCCGAATTGGAGGGGGGGCGAAAACGAGAAGCTGGAGACATGGGCAAGGTTCACATTTGGACTGGAGATCGTCCATCTGTGTTTTTCGCTCGACATTCTGCAGGGATCTCGCGCTGAATTTTCCGTTGCAGCGTCCGTATCCTTCTCCGGTCAAAGTGCACCAAACCTCGTTTTGGAGATTCGATTAAACAACGATTCATGAGGTCAGCCCCGACCTGGGAGCGTGTCATATCGGACGCGTTTCGAGAGGATGACGACTCATGTGCTCATGAGATTCCCGCCTTCGATCGTTTCAAGGTCCCGTCTCCAACCCGAGTTGGAAGCTTTGTCTTATCAGCCCTGAGGCTAAGATAAGGTGATACAAGGATGGGTGGAGATCCCAGTCCGTACAGCGTAGCATTGCGCGGGGTAGACAGGTACTTGAGAGGACTTCGACTTGTCTGAGCTGGCCTTTGCCATCTTCAGCCACTTCACTTGCACAGGGCTGTTTCATCGTACCCGGACGTGCGCTTCAATCATTGCCCCTGCCAAAACGGCTCTCTTTATTTTCCCAAGTCTGAGAGTCTGGACGTGTCTGGCTCTGCTCTTTGCCATCATCTATCCCTGGAGACGTCCTCGACAACTCATCTTCACATGGTGTTCTTTTCCCACACCAGGGTCCTCCAAGCCACCCGCTCCCAGGTTTGGGTGCAAGGGCCAAGGGGCCCTCCTCGGTTGCAGATTCACACATCGGGCGGGGTTTCATGCAGGTCGGAGTGGGGGTTACATTTGGTTCATGCCCTAATGCGATGGCCAGATTGGTGCTTGCGCGCCCTCGCGCCGCGCGACGAGACATTCTGTTGGGAAATCTCGGAACAGAGATAATTCTTTTTTTTTTGTTGGGCAAAACAGTTCCCAAATTTTGTACGTACCACTGTGTACATGCTTTTCTGTTACTATCTCCACACGAAAGAGGCAAAAACCAAGGAGTTTGACGGGATTCGTCCACGTCGCTTGCCAGGCTAAGCTTCACCCACTCTCGGGCCAGTGAGGTTTGTCCTCGATTCCGGCGGCGGTCCTGGCCCACTTTTGACCACTTCCGTCCACGCCGTCCGGCCTGCCTGCCACCAGTCCCCACCGCTTTCCCCCACAAGAACCCCGAACGAGGTCCGGTCTCCAGCCCGGACATACGGCTCGTCGCCGGGACTTGCTCGCTCCGAGATAATGTCGAAGAGCCGCAGAATCACACGATCGAACCACTTGAGCGGACCTGGCTTCGCCAAGTTCCGGTGTTGTTTTCGACTTCTTGCCCATCTTCGTACCCGTGGCTCCCGGTCCCGTGGGTACTTTTCTTCACTGCTTCACTCCTCCAGCTTCACGAAAGCAAATCGCTTCCTTGCCGACGGGCCCAGCAATGAAGCTATTCCATCACCGGGCTAAGCGAGCTCATCGCACACGCCCATGAGGTGATGTCTCCTCCGGTTCACGACGTCGCATGCGAACAACCACGCAAATCCACAGCAGATTCTCATCCGCATGTCGGCCATGTTTCCACTCGTTGAAATCAGTTTATCTGCCCTATTTAAAACAGAGATACAAGTAGGCGCTGTAGAGTCGAGGAGACATGAAAACATCGTTCCTCGACTGTACTTGGAACTCAAGTCCTTTATCCTCCTTTCACCACGTTCATGGTGACATGACTTTTGTCCATCCATCTGTCCAACCGTCCATCGAAGGGCATCGCCAGAGTTGGAAAGCAGCTTGCTCGTTTGATCAAACACCCACAAGACACTACTACACACCGCGCAAATCCGCGCTTTTAAATCCAGAACTTGGCCGTGTTTTCACAACCCAAATAAGCCCGCCCGTTCAACCACGAGGTAAGCCATCATACTACCGAGACAAACAAACATCGTTTCCTCGACCGTAAGCACCAGTCAGGCACCAGGTATCTGGCAAAAGACTCCGAAGTTCCCTTTTCCTAGTTGACTGCCTTTGCACCAGACTTCCGAGGTGTAGAACTGGAGACGGAACAGAGTTGAAAGCATAAATACACATTAGATTATGAGCGTTCACGAAATATCAAGACACCACCACCACGCGCCGAAGTTGAATATCAAATGATACCGCCCGCCGTCTTCAGGGTACTCGATAGACACTCACATCGTTCCGGCTCTTCTACCTGTTTTGTCCAGAAACGAATGAGGCGCCTCATAAAAAGACAGCGGATTGTAAAAAACTGTAAATATCTTGGAAGTGTACGTAGTTCCTTTTTTTCGTCTTTTGAGTTTCGTTTCCTAGACGAGTGAACATATTGCCACGGGAGTGTTCGCATACTTGGCCTCGCACATTGACTTAGACGCACGATGTTTATGTACAATCGGGGCCGAGGAAAATTCACGAGGGCTAGTTGGACGACTCGAGAAACACCTGGTTTTGGTTAAAGCAGGGTTAAGTCGAACGTAAATGTTTTCGATTCGGTGCTAATTTGTGTGCTAGTAGAGGCCTAGTGTGCTGAGGACTTATATGCTCTTGCTTCAGATTTTGGGTTCGATTATTTTGGGGAACAGGGCGTACGAGTACTTGAGCAAAGACGAGACCAGAACATGGCAGTTCTTCGCAGTTAGAAATATAATGGTAAGTTTTGACATGCTCGTAACGGACATCTAACGAACAGGTGGCCGGTACTCCAGTTACAGTCATCTCCAGATATCGAACCTTCAGTTAAACAGGATATTCAGGTCATTAGAAGAACTCTGACGCTGATTTGGGAAACCCGAACGATAATAAAGCCAACGAAACAGCTCTTTTGAAGCCACCGACTAGTCTACGCATGCACCGCTTTTATAACAAACAAACAGGTACAACGTAGAGAGAAGAGAGAGAAAAAAGGCCCAGAGATATGAAAGAACCCGGTTCATTTTATTCACTGTACCCTCAGATGACCTTTTTGAAAACGGGAAAAACGGTACGCCATGGAACTTCACAACATATCAAACTACTGCCGCCGCCTGTTCGCGCATTTACTGAACGATCTCCTCGGTCTCCTCCAACACCTCCTCCATGATCTCCTCGATGACTTGCTCCTCCTGGTCGGTGGCAAGCTCGGGGGTCTTGGCCTTGATGAGCTCGGCAGCGGGATCCGCCGGAAGGCCGTAGATCTCGCGCTCCTCGGCAACCTCCTGCATGATGGCCTCGCGCCAAGCGAACCACTCCTCGAGGAGACGGCGGCGGGCCTCGACAACGGCAACGTCGGCGCTGCTGATGCGCTCGGCGTCTTCCTGCTCGAAGATCCTCGAGTACTCGCGGAGGTTGCGGCGGATGGCCTTCTGCTCCTCCTTGCTAAGGAGGGTAGCGGGGCGCGGCCTCCACTGGAACTGCTTGAACTTCTCGATAGCCTCCTCGCGCAGCTGCTCACCCTTGAAGTCATACAGATGATATCCGTTCTCCATCTATTTTTGGCTCATGTTAGTGATTTCTGCTATATATCATCTTCATCGAATATCCATGGTACTTACAGAGTGCTTCCACGCGGAAGCCCAGGTGGCAACGAAGCGACCCGAGGGGTCCCACTCGACGTCGGTGACACCGTAGTGGTCAGCGGTGTTCATGAGCTGAAGGTTGGCGGTAAGGTCCTTGTCGGACTCGGGCTTCTCGCCCTCGAAGTCGAGGTCGTAGAAGTCGAGATCAGAGCTCTGAGTGTTGGCAACAGTGGCAACGACCACGAAACGTCCCTTAGGCGACCAGTAGATGGCGTTGCTGTTTTTCTTCTCGAGAGTGCGGAGGTGCTTGAAGTTTCCAATAGCATTGCCCTTGGCCTTCTCAGGGCAGAAGAAAGCGACCGACGTCTTGGGGGGAACGGCGGTGGCACCGACAGGCTCGGTGGTGGTGATAATAACGAACCTGTCGCCCTTGGGCTCCCAGGCAAAGTTTATTACGGTATCCTTAATGGTGTCGACAACTTCCACGGGGACACCCTTCTCCTTGACACGGAAAATCTCAAGAGTGGTAGCCTGAGACTTCTTGGACTTGGAGTGACGGTCAACCTTGACGCAAAGGTAAGCACCCTCAGACTGCCAGTGGAGCTTGGCATCCGAGACGCTGAAGAGGTTCAGTGACCTGACAACCTGCTTAGAGGGGATGCTCATCAAGCCGACTCTGGCGGGGTTGCTGCCGATCTCAGGGGTCCAGAAGCAGAAAAGCTGCTCGTAGGTCTTGACACCGTCGCGCTGCACGGTGGCGGGAGCCCAGTCGAAGTCCACAACGCCCTCGATCTTGATGGCGGTCTTGTCCAACAAGTTCATCCTCGGGAGCTCGTAGACGGAAATGGACTGGCCGGGGTTCAGCCTGGCGACGTACTTGTCATCGGCAGACCACTTGAACGCGGGCCAGGGGAACTTGGGGGCCTTCTTAGGAGCCTCGCCCTCGGCGGCGGCGGGGGTGTCGAGCTGGGCGAAAGAACGGAGGGGCTTTGAGGTCTCGATATCCCAGATAACGTAGTTCTTGCCGTCGTCTTCTACCGACAGAGCAGGGTGACCCTCCTCGGGAATCGAAATCGGCCTGTTGGACCAGGTGACAATGTACTTTTCGTTGGGTGAGAAGGCGACAAGGTTGACGAAGGGATGGGCGAAACGCCTCTGCCTGGTCCACGAGGGGCCACCCCAAAGCTGAACACCCTGGGCGTGGACGGAGGTGAGATAGGTACCGAGGGGCGACCACTGCACAAAGGTCTCGGTCCAGTGTTGACGGTCGACAATGTTCTCGGGCGTATCCTTCTCGTTGTTCCAGAAAACGCCAACGGACTCTCCCCTGAACATAACAAACTGATCTCTGCCGCGGCCGCTGGGGTCGGCCATGAAGGAGCGGAGGTGCTCCTTCTCCTGGAACTCCTCGATCTTGGGAGGAGTGTACTCGTCATCGATACGGCCCTCGCGACCATAGCGGTCGACATCGGTAAGCTTGTTGACGCGGAGGGTGTGCTTCTTGTCGAGGGGGACGAGGTCGAGCTGTCTGCAGGCGGCAGCAGCCTCGGCGGCCGACGAGTACTCGACGAAGGCGAATCTACAGAATCCATATCAGTGCCCTGGTCAGGGAGCCAACATCCACAGCATAGGGACACATCGCGGTCGGGCGCAGCGATGGATGGCCGGTCTGTAGATGCGCATCATTTAAGGCGGCTGGGTTGCATACCTCAGCGACTTTCCATCCTCGCCCATGGGCATGAAGATCAGGTCCTCCCGGGTCTTGCCAACAGTGTTGAGCTTCTTCAACAAGAACTTGACGAGCTTGGGTTTTTGCTCCTCGTTAACCTCAGGGAGACCATCGACAACGACGAAGGCATCGTAGCCCTGCTCAAGCTGAACCTCGTACTTCTCGCGGATATCGGAAATGTCGACCTCATCAACATCGAAGTCATCCTCGTCGAGGTCCTCGTCGCGGAGGTGGTCGAAAGAGGGCGCCATGCTGGGCAATTAATCGGCAATATGTTACGCTTGGTCGGTGCCGGGGATTAGTAGCTGGCGATGTAGGGGTCGGGGAGGCGCCTCTGGTGGTGGTGGTTGGACTTGGTGGATGACGGGATCTGGGCTCGGATTTTTTCTGCGATACCGCGGGCGGAACAACGTGCTGGCTATGCGGTCGTCAGGATTATTGTGAGAATTTGTGCGCAGCGCGCAGATTGTGGTGGGGTTCAGTGAGAACGGCCAGAGGACCAGGGAAGACCGCGAAAGAAATGCCCCACTCTAAGAGGCAATAGTGCACGGTGATTGGCTACCCTACCAGATCCCCTCTCTCTGGAATCGCTAAAATGGGACTTTATGCCAGTGAATGCAATGATGTGGTGGATAGTTTGGAGGTTCAAGGAGCCTCAGATATTGAAAGCCACTATGAATACAGTCGGCCAGGAGGGGGCCGTTTTGGGAATAAAGTGGTGGTTGATTAGGAGGAAAAGCTAACTACAGAAGCCCCAAGATTCCAAGTCTTTATACCTTCCCTACTATACGCACAACGCACCTTCCCAATATCATGGATATTGCACAGTTGCAGTGGACTCGGCCTGGGAAAGTAAAGTACTCGATGCTGCCCTGTCACTGGGCTTCTTCAACTTAAACTTTTTCCTTTCTTTCAATCTCACAAGATGATGGCGGCAGGCAGTGAGCTAAGTATTATTCGTTTTGTGCACGGAACAAATATTGACCAAGGCAGCGTCTGGCCGCTTTCAGCAGTCATTCATAAGTTTCAAGTTGCCATCAGCTTTAAGTCAGGAACTGCGTTGGACGGGCAGGCATCGATTTAGCTTTGAGCCTCATGGCCACTCCCGCCCATGCCTGCCAGAAACACTCGACGGCAGTTCCTTCTCCAAAGTGCTGCGCTGTCCACCACTGTCCACCGCCGCCGCCAGCCCAAAGCTCCCCTCCCCCCTTTCTTCCTTCCCCACGGGAGACGTCCAAGTGGGGTCACCTCCTGCCCACCTCAGTTGGACATTTGTCTGTCAAAGGAGGGGCAAACGGCCTGGCGTTCGAGTGACAAGCATTTTATGCCACCTGTCGTAGGCGGTGAGGTAAAGGAGGGACAGGAGCTCTGGAATTTTGCCGTGGCCTGCCGTCCAAAAAGTGCCTAGAATCCAGAAGAGCATCATCCCGCTGGCAGACTGTAGAAAGGAGGCTTCGCGTTCAGGGTATCCATACGTCCACCTAAAATATACCAAGCTTGCTTCTTCTCTTCCGACCTCAACCCCCCGTGCACCCCGTAAACCCGACCTTTTGTCTAATATTTAAGCTTCTTCTACATCATGGCAAGTTGATTTGTACACCACCTTGGGAACCTTTCCAAGCTCACCGTAACTAACCAAACGCCCGACCATCTCCAGGCCTCGTTTAGCCCCACCCAGATCTTCGAGGAGGGCACCACAGAAGAGAAGGGAGAGAATGCCCGTCTCAGTGCCTTCGTCGGCGCCATTGCCGTTGGCGACCTCGTCAAGAGCACACTTGGTCCCAAGGGCATGGACAAGATCCTCCAGTCTGCGTATGTTTGTTCACTAAACCCCCCGCCTACATGCTTGACGCGCCGCCGTCATGTGCTGACCGCATCATCACAACATCTAGCTCGACCGGTGAGATTCTAGTAACGAACGACGGTGCTACTATCCTCAAGTCTATCGCTCTCGACAACGCCGCCGCCAAGGTCCTCGTAAACATCTCCAAGGTCCAGGACGACGAAGTCGGTGATGGCACCACCTCTGTTGCCGTCCTTGCCGCCGAGCTCTTGCGCGAGGCCGAGAAGCTTGTCGACAAGAAGATCCACCCCCAGACCATCATCGAGGGTTACCGGTTAGCTAGCCAGGCTGCGCTCAAGGCCCTCGAGGCTTCTGCCGTTGACCACAGCAGCAACCCCGAGGCGTTCAGGAAAGACCTTGTCGCCATCGCGCGCACAACACTCAGCTCCAAGATTCTTGCGCAAGACAGAGACCACTTCGCCGAGCTCGCGACCGAGGCCATTTTGCGCCTGAAGGGTTCCGCCGACCTTAGTCACATTCAGATCATCAAGAAGTCCGGCGGCAAGCTCAGCGAATCATACCTCGACGATGGCTTCATCCTCGACAAGAAGATCGGTGTCAACCAGCCCAAGCGCCTTGAGAAGGCCAAGATCCTCATCGCCAACACATCGATGGATACCGACAAGGTCAAGATCTTTGGTGCGCGTGTCAAGGTCAGCTCTACCAGCAAGCTCGCTGAGCTCGAGAAGGCCGAGAAGGACAAGATGAAGGCCAAGGTGGAGAAGATCAAGGCGCACGGCATCAACTGCTTTATCAACAGGCAGCTGATTTACAACTGGCCCGAGCAGCTGTTCACCGATGCCGGCATCATGTCGATTGAGCACGCCGATTTCGACGGCATTGAGCGCCTTGCCCTCGTCACCGGTGGTGAGATCGCTTCTACCTTCGACCACCCGGAGCAGGTCAAGCTTGGATACTGCGACGTCATCGAGGAGGTTATTATTGGCGAGGATACCCTTATCAGATTCTCTGGCACCGCTGCCGGCCAGGCCTGCACTGTCGTTCTCCGTGGTGCTACCGATCAGTTGCTCGACGAAGCCGAGAGGTCTCTGCACGACGCTCTCGCCGTTCTTTCACAGACCGTTAAGGAGCCCAGGACAACATTGGGTGGTGGATGCGCCGAGATGGTTATGGCCAAGGCTGTTGAGGGTGCTGCTACTCGGGTTGAGGGCAAGAAGCAGACCGCCGTGTCTGCTTTCGCCACTGCGCTCAGGCAACTGCCTACCATCCTGGCGGACAACGCTGGTCTTGACTCTGGAGACCTTGTTGCCCGGTTGCGCAAGGCTATCTACGACGGTCTGAACACCTATGGTTTGGATCTCATGACACCAGGAGGCGGTATTACCGATATGAGGGACTTGGGTGTCATTGAAAGTTACAAGCTCAAGAAGGCTGTCGTCTCTTCGGCCAGTGAAGCCGCTGAGGTATGTAACCCTTATTTGATTGATACGGCTACAATAATGCTAACCGTCGCGAATAGTTGCTTCTGCGTGTGGACGACATAATAAGAGCGGCCCCCAGGAGGCGGGAGAGGCACTAAACTCGTGCGATCTGATGCGCGAGAGGAGTAGTTGGAGAGCAGACTATGTAAATGACCTTGAGCATAGCAGTGCTGAATGCTTGATGGTGTGTGGTCTCGCCGTCCCAATCCCAGCCCGACGTTTGCTTCTTGTTGATGTTAAACCACGATATCATACCGTGCGCCCAATGTTGCCATAACTGATATAAAAGAGACCTATAACTAATAGACACGCCATCTCACGTTCACCCCTTATTCTTGCTAACAAGTCTTGCCTTGTATGTGTAATTACCTTCTTTCGAGGATCCAAATCTGCTAGCCGGTCATTCAGATGCAAAAACTACCTCAATTCCAAAGCCTGGTCTGGAGTAAACGCGAGGGAAGGAGTGTTTTATATTCTCATGTCTGTCAATACTCAATACTAGGAACAAACATTCTCAACCTACGTCCAATTAGGAAACCTTCCCCCAACTCCCGTTCGACAACCCATCAAGACTCCAACCCAACATAACCTAGTCACCTATCCCCTTTGTAAACTCCCACTTGAAGCATTCCATCCCCCTTCACCATCTCCAGCATAGCAAGCTAGCTGGTTAGGTACCTTGCCCAGGCCCCGTCCCAAACCACAACGAACACGAACCAACTTTCAAGGCCTCAAGTCAAAACCTCCGCCAACCTCTCCTTCAACAACCGTCCAATCACCTCCGGATCCGGTCCCTCCGCTCCCGCAGCGACCATATCCTCCCGCGTGAGCCGGACGAACTTGAGGTCCGGGTTCTGGGCCAGCACCGCCTCTTTCACCTGCTCGGCGTCCGAAGGGGACACGCCGCCGCCGAAGATGATGGCCTTGGGCACCTTGAGATCGGCCGGGGTAGAGGCCGTGGCGTTGGAGCCTAGGTTCGACGAGGGTGTCCCCTGGGAGAAGGTGCCGTTGCAGAGAGCGGGGAGTTCTGAGAGGGAGGTGGAGAGGGTGAGGGTTGTGTGGACGACTGTTTTTGGTTGTTAGAGTGGTTTTTGGGTGCGTGGGTAGGTATTAAGTAGGGGTACTATTGATGTAATGGGGACGGTGGAGGGGATGTGGATGTGGATGTGGAGGTGGATGTGGTGGGAAGGGAAGGGAAGGGAAGGGAAGGGAGGAAGAGTAGGGGGACGAAGGGGATGAAGGGGACGAGGGGACAAAGGGGACGAACCGTCATATTCCGGAAGGAGCTTTTCGCGAATGGCTTGGGCGACTGCGGCATTGTTGCCGAAGGAAGCGACGGGGATTGCGGTGGTGGACATGTTGATGGTGAGGTGTGCTTGAGCGATATGGATGAGTTGGAGCTTGGGACTGTTGGCTTGGAGCTTATAGCTTTAGGAGTGGGATGATTGTTGTAATACTGTGGTTTGCGTTGTGAGAAAACCTCGGAGCCTCCATGAGTCGGGAACCTCGTGGGGATTATATATCTGCTTCACCCGAGTGTCATATCTGATGACTGGAGCTCCTTCCAGTTGTAAGTGAGGCTTGGAAAGCCGTCGTCGTTCGTTGTATGTCGGACAATCTGTAACTATTGTCACCGGTGACCGAAGTCCCGGACCAAGGAAACAGCTGCAACTGAACTGTCTTAGACAGCAAATGCTACAGGTAGTACTGCGAATTGATTCGCTGCTTCGGTATTTTGGGAAGGTTCGAAACCTTTGGGTTTGGCGGAGAGCGGGACATGATGAAGACCGAATCGGACGACGGGATGATTCCGGGGACCGGCATGGAGGAGGCTCAGCCGGAGCTTCATCAAGACCTCGTCACCGAACGGAAGGCAGATTGCTGTGCCGTAGTAAGTAGTAGCTACGAAGAAGTCTACCAATTGTTCTCTCCCCTTCTACGCCTCGCCTTGAGTCGTGCCGTGGGGTAATCCGCTAATGTATTCAGGAGCTCGGAAACACGGCATTGTTAGTCGTATGAAGCCGCGTAAGTCATGAAATTCCTGTCCTTTAGAACTGATTCCGGTCTTCTTGTGCCATTTGGATGCATACGGGCCATGTAGTCAACTGGTTGCTGAAATGTCCTCGACATCGGAGGAGCTGTATGTGAAACATGCACATGTTGTGCGAAAGCTCACCGCAAAATATGCTCGAGTATTATTAGAGCTTTGTGAAGGGAGGGAACGACGGGATGTTAGACGAGCGCGCGGATTCACCTGTCTTGCACGGAGTGACAATTTCAGCTCAATTGATACCAATCCGGGATTTCGGGTGAGGGAGATGGGAGCACTTTCTACAAGTACCAAGAGAAGTCTTCTTTCCTTTTCTCCTCTCTCGGGTTGTTTAGCATCTCATTGGCGACCAGGCTCGGTCCCGAGATGGTGGCTATTTGCGGCCATTTTCACGTAGTAAGTAGGACATGAGGCTCGTGCCGCATCAAGCGTGAAAAGACTGGCTAAAAGTCCTCAAGTAGTACATAGGTGGAAAGGGTTTCCAGCTGAGCGGGATGTTGAACTTGACTGGAATGCCACTCGTCTTTCGTTCTATATCTGGACTCTTAGTACCGCATTTTTTTAGCAACAAGAAACATGACGAGAACCGAACCTCTTATGTCACGGGGGTGCATTATGAACGTCGTTCTGGCCTCTTCTTCCCCTCTGAAAGAGTACATTGTGTTTGCAGCCTTGCTGATAGGTACACGGATATATATCACTGCGTCCCCTTTCCACGCTCTGCGAAGAGTTCCAAGAGACCTTTCTCCTGTCTACTGGAAGACTGTGTTTGTTCGAAATATCCCACACCGCACTGAACCGGGCATGTTCAAGCATATCGTACGCATTCGCCCCGGCATTGGAGTTCTGAAACAACACTCGTCCCTGCAACTGGACTTGCCCATATAGCATTCCAATCCGCTTTGCGCCGTCTAGCCTTTTGCATACGCCGGGCCACTTGGCAACGAAGCGAGATGCGCTTGACCGAAGCTGATGGTGTTGTCGCCCAGTGGAAAGAAATTCGATTGATATTCGCGGCGAAGAAACAGAGAGGCCGTGGCGGTCACATTCGATGGTGGTGCGATGAAGACCCTTGGTAAGCCCAGATGTAGACTTTTCTTCCTGCTTGGAGTCTCGGTCATAGTGACTGGCCTGCACTGCAATTGTGAATGATGAAGACCCAACCGACGAGGAGCAGCGGATACTCCTTCTTCTTCCCGTAACCTTTGCGATATGCCAAGTTTGGGTGATGCGGATTGTCGAGTGCCAACTGAGCAGAGGAGGTGGGTGACATTGGTATTTATCCCAAGCGAGTGAATAGGCGTGATGGGTTAACCAACGACTGACCATGGATCGTCAAAAACAGCAATGGATGAGGGAGATGCAAAGGCTAGACCAAGTTGCGTCGGAAAAGGGGTTCCATTGCATCTCTCCGTCCCTACTATGATGCCATCCAGATTGCCATCGTTGTGCAGAGGAAACATGATGGTGTAAGTTGGACGAAAGAGGAAAGTCTTGGAGTTAGCAGTTCGCTTCGGTCGGCCAAGGGTCCTCCGGCATTGACATGGCTTCCGCATCACGTGGCTGCCCGCATTCCGGCAACCGGCCACCGGCGGCGTGGATGTTTGCGGCAGCGCGAACTGAGAGCTAGTGTCGCGCAATTCGGCACACTGATTGGCTGAAATGGGGATCGCCGCCTCTGAACACCACCCCACCCCACTTTCCTTCCATCTCAGACGAGCCGGGACGGCAGACGGGACCGAAGGTGGGGCTCATGGAAGTGAATAGGACCAATCACCGTCGCAAACCAGCCACAAAGAAGCCTCACTTCTTCCGGTTTTGGCGGACGGTTGGCGGACCGTGAACCACCAACACCGCGACCGACCTCACTGTGTTGTGGACTGAGACTCCCGGACGCCGCAAGACACTGCAACTTAAGAAGACGGCGAACCGTAAATCGCATAGGTTTCTAGAACTCCACTCCAGGACTTCCAAGTTCAGGTACCTGAGGTCATCTTGCGCTTGGGCTGGCCATCTGCATCAGAAACCGCTGAATTTGCATTCGCTGCTTGTGCGCCTACACGTCTCTACGGCTCAAACACTCTCTCTCCACCGTACCTACGCGATCGCATCACACAACCGCATCGCATCGCAGCATCCCTATACCTATCACATCAGGGCACCCGGCATACCCGACCCAATTCAGCCGGCAGGACGTGGTGTTTTTTTTTCCTTCCAGCATCAAATACTCGTCAAGACTACTGTCAACTTGTCCGGGACAATACCATCATCCTTCACTGATCGGTCAACCATCCTTTTTCGCGACCATCTCGTAGCGTATCGTCATCTTCACCGGCTTTTGCTCCAAGCGCCCCCTACATTAGCGACAAGCTTACCTGCTTTTTTGTCCGGTATTCTGAGCTTCCATCCCGATTCCCAAGCTGTTGCTGCTTGCGAGCATTTTCACCTCAACTCGGCCCACACGCATCCTGTCTTTCAAGTCTAAATTTGGACGGCAAAGAACGGCCATTCTGTTGTCGCGTTGAACGAAGTGCAGTTGTCGCGCCCGCAAATTTCCTGCCTTGTTCAACCAGTCCGCAGTCGGCCATCTGTTTACCCCAGCTGTTTACTCGCAACGCTCCGGATATCATTCTTACCTGAACCTCTCGTCAGGGCGGAGGCTATTCCACACGCTGAAGCTACCGGCCCTTACATCATCTGCCAGGCCAGCTTTTAGCACACCACAAGGTTCCCTTGGACACCATATCCTATCATTCCCAATCTCTCCTGTCAGTGGGTGTATCGTGCTACACCAGCAACATGTCCGCGCAATGTAAGAATATTGCATAAGCTTGTCTCCCCTTCCAAATGGAGCTATGCTAACTCGGTCTAGTTACCCCCGAGGAGGAGGCGACCTACGCCTGCGTCATCGATGAGATCCTTGAAACCGCCGACCTCGACACAATTTCTCGCAAGGCCATTCGGCAGAAAATGGAAGCGGCCATAAACAAGGATCTAAGTGACCAAAAGGTCAGTGCCAAAGCCCGTCTCGTCTGCTGTATTGGCTTGCTGCTTCTACTAGAAACTCCAGTGCTCTCCTAGCACCCTCTCCGGTTTCGGTTGTTTGATCAGCTGCTGACAGTTCCGGAATTCGTATAGCACGCCATCAAAGGCTTGATAGAAGCCCGATTCGACGCCTTTTCAGCACGCAAGGCCGCCCAAGAGCCAACACCCGAAGAGGCAACACCCGAGGCAACTCCCCAGGCGACTCCCGAGGCGACTCCCGAGGCCGACGAAGACGATGCTGCTACCGATGCCGAAATAAAAGTCCGGCCTAAGAAGCAACAAAAGCGCGAGAGCTCAGAGGACGCCGACGCCCGTCTGGCCGCCGAACTCCAAGCGCAGGAGAACAAGCTGTCTCGCGGACCCCGAACACGAGGTGGCGGCGCAGCAAAGGTGACCAAGAAGGCCAAACCCAAGGCCAAGACACCAAAGAAGAAGAGCGCGACACGTGTCAAGTCCGACGACGATAGTGATATGGAGCCCGAAGCGGTGGAAGGAACCAAGAAGCGCAAGGCGGGTGGCGGCTTCCAGAAGCCTTTCAACCTAAGTTACCCTCTCCAGGAGGTTTGCGGAGAAGCTCAGGTTTGTGGTTATTACCCAACAGGCCGTGAATGGAGGACTAACCGAGTACAGCTCTCACGCCCGCAAGTCGTCAAGAAGCTCTGGGAACATATCAAGGCGAACGAGCTACAGGATCCCAGCGACAAGAGACAAATCATTTGCGACGAAAAACTGCAGGCCGTCTTCAAGCAGAATTCGATCAACATGTTCCAAATGAACAAGCTGCTCGGCAACCAGCTTTATCCGATCGAAGAGTAACATGTCTGATCTGAGATGGACGGTTTCCCGTTTGGTATTGGGTCATTGGGGGCTAGGTAGCAGGCTGGGCGTGCATGGCGTCATTGGAAAATATCTGGGGCTTCGGAACTACTAGTATACCACAGTACGTCTCGTTTTCATGGTTTGAGGGTTGAAAGGAGGTATGTGAAAGGGGCAGCGCATTTTCTCGGTTTTCACTATTTGCTGGGTTTGTCTTTGGGTCTTCCTCAGGGGCGCAAGGGGGGTTTTCTCTTAGCCCAATTCATACCATTTTGGAGGGAGATACAAGCTAGCGTATGAGCTTACCATTTCATTAGTGGTGTTCAGTATCATGACGGCCGAGGGTACAGGAAAACAGGCACGGCGAGATGTCAGCGATATTTCTCCTTTATACCCGGTCCTTCTCACATGCGCTTCCAAGATTCCGATAAGGCTGATGCCGATAAAAGGGGATGTAAGCAGGCAGTGTATGTACATATGTAATCCCCCCTTTACGAGAGTCGCCAGGGTCAAGCATACCAAAAAAGACTTGCCGTATCCAGAATGTCAGCACCGCCTAGATATTTACGATATTTGTCAGAATGAATCAATCTCTATGCGAGAGGCCAGATTATGCAAATTCGGGGAGTGACTCCTCGACGCTCGTTGCCGAGTAGTCCGAATTAAATCGGCCAATGCCATTGAAGCTGAGCCACTCTCCATCATGGACCTGAAGATCACCAAACAGAAATAATACGCCAACACTACCCCTGCCCAGCCACTGTTCTGGTTCAATTTCTGGTAGGACTGACTGCTTGGTATCCGGTACGAACCGAGCATCGTGGAGGCAACGCGACGGGAGGCATGGATGTTGGGTTTTCGGGGGTACTGTGTACCTGGTGATGACGAGCCGCAATCCCCGGCATTTTGGACGGGTTTTGGTTTGGGGGGCACTTTGAGGGGAGGCGCCACAAAAAATTGCGAGCCCCGGCGGTTTGTTTGCTAGGTAATCGGGCGAATAAATGCTAGAAGCTCCCGGACCCCACCATCAACGTCAACACCCCCAATTCAATCATTCCGTCTGTTCTCTCTCTGCAACCGACTCAAGTTGGCCCAACTGTCTCCCAATCGTCACATTATCCCTATTCAAAACAGTTTTTCTGGGAGCTGTTGTTCCTTCCGCAGTATCTCGCAAACTTCTTCCCCCACGAAGACTGTACAGCAACCAGAGCGCCCTCGTACCGACGAGTCTCCGAGAGCGAGCCATTTCCAGGCACACGACCACCACACAGGGCAGCAGTGACACTTTCCTTTAGTCGGTCCAAATCTTTCGAAATCATGTCTTCGACGGAGCAAGCAACCCCTCAGGGGCCTAGAGGCGACGGAAACCGGGGTAAAGGCCGAGGGCGCGGAGCACCTCGAGGCAACCGTAGTCGGGGTGGTGATGGTGCTGGTCGCGGTGGCGCTGGTGCTGGCCGTGGAAAGGGCAGAGGTGGAGGACAACAACAGCAGCAGGGCGCACCTACAGCCTTGCAGGACAGCTCTTCCGGCGACAGCAACCCCGCCCAGTGGAAGACACAACAGCAGGAAGCACAAGACGACGACGACGAGGTGTGCTTCATTTGCGCTAACACCATTACACACCACTCTGTTGCGCCTTGTGGCCATTCCACATGCCATATCTGCGCCCTGCGGCTAAGGGCACTTTATAAGACCAAGGAATGCCCGCATTGCCGAGTGAGTATAGCCATTCGAGGAACATGAGGTCCCGTTTGCTTTGGGTAGTTGCTGACATGCGTAAACCTCTAGACGGCCGCTCCCTTCGTTATCTTTACCGACGACCCCAATAAACGCTTCGAAGAGTATACGAGCAAGGAAATTACGAGTACGGATGACAACATTGGAATCAAGTACGCGGGCGAGGAAATTGTTGGCGATACTGTCCTTCTCCTGCGATATAACTGCCCCGGCGGAGAGTGTGACTTCGCCGGTCTAGGTTGGCCCGATCTGCATCGCCATGTGCGCTCTGTTCACCACAAAAAGCTTTGTGACCTGTGTACGAGGAACAAGAAGGTCTTCACCCACGAGCACGAAATGTTTACAGATAAGGAGCTACGCGACCATATGAGCCGCGGCGACGACAAGCCCGGTGCCGTTGATCAGACCGGGTTCAAGGGACATCCGCTCTGCGGCTTCTGCGGCGAAAGATTCTATGATAACGACAAGCTTTACGAGCATTGCCGCAGTAAGCACGAGAGATGCTTCATTTGTGATCGCCGCGACTCCCGGCAACCGCATTACTACCTGAACTACGATGCTCTGGAGAAGCATTTCAAGCAGGATCATTTCATTTGCCAGGAACGGGACTGCCTGGAAAAGAAGTTTGTCGTTTTCGACAGCGAGCTGGATCTGAAGGCTCACCAGCTTAGCGAGCACGGAAACTCGTTGTCGAAGGATGTTAGGCGAGACGCACGCGTGGTTGACATTTCTGGCTTCGAGTTTAGGTCTTCATACCAGGAGGAGCGTGGCGGCAGAGGTCGCGGGGGAAGAGACGGGCGAGGCGCACGCGGTCGGGATCCCAATGCCGAGGCGTTGCCCGTCAGTACTGCTCAGCCTCTACGAAGAGACGAGCTTGCTTTTCAGCGGCAGATGGCTATTGCCCAGTCAGCATCCTCTGCGCGTCCGAGCGCGGGTCCTTCTTCCGGCACTCGCCCAGCCGGACAGACCTCTGTAATTCAATCACGACCATCCAGGCCCCAGCAACAACGCGAGCAGCAGCAGCAGCAGCAGCCCATTATTGATGCCATGCAAAACCTCAGCGTTACTGAGCTCTCGTCTCTTACCCCTGAGCAGCGTGCTAGTCTTACACGGCACGGTGCGGTGATTGAGCGTGCTTCGAACCTCCTTGGCAACGATACCGCCAAGATCAACCAGTTCCGGTCTTATATCTCGAACTTTAACAAGGGCTCGATGACTGCGGACCAGCTGATCGATGCTTTCTTCTCCCTCTTCTCCGAGACCTCGTCCAATGCACTAGGCACTCTGGTACGAGAGGTTTCTGATCTGTTTGATGACAAGAACAAGGGCGCTTCTCTCCATAGGGCATGGCAAAACCACCGAGTCATCAATGAGGACTACCCCAGTCTCCCAGGCCTCGGCGGTATGCACGGTGCTACAACAGCAAGCAGCGGATGGGCCGCCGCCGCCTCGGCGACCCCAGTTACTCTACACTCCAACGGAGGCCTAGCAAACGCACAGTCGCGTCATTCTAACCATGTCCTAAAGCTCAAGAACAGCACCAGGATAGGCAGCGCTAGCGAGCGTGGCCTGGAGCGAACAGTCGCCTCTCTCCAGGCCGGAGGATCAAGCAGCAGCAGCTCGAGCAGACTCGTGCCCGGCACGAACGCCTACGCCGCCCATGTTCGTCCCACCGTCAACAACTCCGCAGCGTTCCCTGCGCTCCCGGGAGCCAAGAAGCCCGCCACCACATCAGGCTTGTCAGGCTTTACTGCGGCCGCGGCCGCCGGTTCATCATCATCTTCTTCCCGCCCCGTCGCTGCCCCTGCATCTTCTTCTCGACCCAGCGGCGGCAGCACGGCCACCACCATCGCGAGGAAGGTCGCCGGCGGCAGTGGCAGTATGCAGAAGCCCGGAAACGAGGACGCCTTCCCGGCACTTCCCGCGGCGCCTAAGCCTACTACTACTCTGTTCGGCTACGGCAGAGGTGCGGTGCGGAGAGACTTTGGTCAGCCCAAGGAGACCGGATTTAACTGGAACGCTGGAAGCGGAAGCGGCGGTGCGTCGGGCTCGTCTTCGGCTCAACAGGCTGGTGGTGAGGGTGATGCGGATGGCGCTGGGAGTGGGAAGGGCAAGAAGAAGCAGAAGAAGCAGGTTTTGGTGCAGTGGGGTTAGGTACCGTATAGGCCTGAGACACTGAGCGGGTAGCTATGTAATGGGAGGATGTTGAATGTTAAAGCGTACTCCATATCAGAAATTCTTGTCAAGTCCTTCAGAATGACGGATCAGAGATATTACAATAGCGCAGACTGTTGGTGAACGAGGGACGAAAAGCGGATGGATGTATTCAAAGTTGACGTAACTGAGAACCACAGCGCAACGTTTTCAGCACACATATGTGCCCCAGATCAGATACTTCTCCGGTGTGAAATTATATATAGTTTCCATGAGTTGATCTACGATAACACAATGCAGGAACAAAGTCGAACAAACCAACGAACGAAACGAGTGACAGTCATACATAGATCACGTACGTATTCGATCGAGGTCAGGATCATGTCTGCCTGCCTGCTTCATATATGAGGTAACATGGGACGGAAGTTGACAGCTGTCCCGAACTACGGTGGCTTCGTTTAGGGACTGTAAAAAAACGATTGAACACAGGCAACGCCAGCTCCCGCCAGCTGTAGAGAGCTTTGACAGAAACCCCACACACACCCAATAACCAAATAAAAGCTATAACTGCATACAAGCTTTGCGCGCCTCAACCTACCTACTATAAGGAAATAAGAAAAAGAGACGGAAAAGAAGAAAAGAAAGAAAGAAAGGAAGAAGAAAAGAAAAAAAGCGAAGGAGAAAGGTAGAGGATATTTTTTTTGTAGCGACGGAAAGTCACGCGGATCAAAGCCTACTTTTCTCAACCAATCAATTTACATGCATTCTCAAATCCCATTCCCAACCCTAACCCTCAAGCCTAACTATCATTCTTGACCCTTATTTTCAACCCTCACTTTTCACTCAGGTACTTCGTTTTGCTTCGAAGTCGGACTGCGATGAAATTTGCAGTGCAACAGCAATTGAGATAGCGATACCATTTGGGACGGCGATAACGATTAAGGCTATTCTCATTCGTTATCATTTAAGCTGTCAATCGGGGTCGCTGTCGGGGTCGCTGTCACTGTCAGACTTGAATCGTTTTTGCTGCAAAAGACTCGATTGGTGCACCTCAAACTTCCCGGTACAAATATAATCACTTAGTGGGGGCGGGGTGGGACCTTGGCACCCCGCTGCCGCCTGTCAGATCGTATTTTTACAGTCCCTAAACGAAGCCACCGTACGAACCAAAACCTAAAGACCTTACCTCTATAGTCACACAACAGGAACAATACTCACTGCACTGCACTACACTGTAATCATGATTGATATGTCCCAAAACAGCCTGCCCTGTTCCGTTTCGACAATGAAAACGCTCTGTCAACACATCGATGCCCTCTATATTCCAAGATATCCGGGATTTATGCTTTAATTATTGGAGGTATCGGAAGTTTATGGAGACGGAAGACGGAAGACGGAATGGTAGTCTGGTAACATTGAGGAAATGTGTGGGAAATGTGGAAAACGGGAAAAAGGTCAGGTTATGGTGCATCTTATGTAGGCATCTTCTTAACCAGGGTTGTAGTATCGGGTGGTGTGGTGGTATTGTGGGCTGGTTGGTGGTGTGGTCAGTCGGAAGGAAGGTGGAAAGAATGAGATCAGATCAGATGGAAATGTTCCCTTTTGGGGAAAGGCACCCCAACTGAAGGAGGGGGGCAGTTATTCTAAAACTTGAGAAGAACGAGAAGGGAAAACGGAGGAGAGAAGAAAAAGCTATTTTTTTTTATCCGTCCTACGTACTTGAATAAGGTAACTTCAAGTCTGGCCGAGTCAGTCCGACCTTAAAAAACCCGAGATGTTGACTTTACCGCTATCAGATGGGATGAAAAGGTCGTTGCTTGCCCGCATTGGATGAAAGAACCACGCAGAGATGCTTCATGAAGCACGTGGATGGAAAAGATGGGATGAATGCCGTACGGTTGGTATGTAGGTACAGTACATTTACTGTTAGCATAAATACTCTATGCGTGCTTGTGACTTGCTTGATGCTTGTGCCTTTGCTTTGCTTGATGCAATGCTTGTGATGGAAGAGCGGTCTCGGAATCGAACTGACAAGTTAGGATAGAGAAACTCAGAGAGGGGATATGTAGTCACGTCATTGGAACTGCATTGGTTCACCGTCATGCTTTTTATTTTCCTTCTTTGTGTTCTTTTTTTTCTGGGCGTCCGCGCGGTGTTGATCCTCGGGACAATCAGTTGGTTGGCTGGTTGGCTAGTTGTCTTGCTTGCATCTCAACAATTCTTTAGTCCGTAGGTTAGGTCCGAGTGCTTGGCCGGTTGAAGGTTGAAGGTCGAAAGGAAAAGGAGGTGTAGGTAACAATATGTGCATGAGGCATGATCCGCTTCCTCTTCGACGATGCCTGCCTGCAGACGCCGCCGATATGCGTGTTCAATAAAGAGTGGACGAACAGCTGGATCAAGAGAAACCTTTGATGCCTGGCTGCTCAACACAAAGAACAACCCAGGTGAATAGTGAACGGTTACGGTGAGGATCAACAGCTCACCTAAACTAGTTAAAACTGCCAAACTGTCACTCGGAGTCTCCCGTCAGTCGTAGTTAATCAGGGCAAGGGCAAGGGCTTGAGGTTTTAGTTGACAACCCGTCCCTTGTCTCTTCAACTTGCGAGAGCCTCTTCTGACTTCATGGGAAGTGGAAGAAAAAGGAGGATCATGATTCGTTGAATAGCCCGTGGCCGGGCCTTTGCCCTAGTGCCTGCTGTCAAAAGGGTTGAAAGGGTTGAATCGGTCTGAGAGCGAGGGGTCGAACGACCCCGGATCTCGTTTTCAGGGAACCTCACTGTGGAGCCGTTTCCCCGTTCCCCCCGTTTTCTGTTCCCGTTCCCGCTCCCGTCGAAGCTCGGGCTCCGTCCGAGTTGCTTACCCGCTGCGTCGGGTACATGGATGACCGGATGACGGGATTGAGATATGTGGATGAAGGAAAAGAAGTTAGATGCTGAGGTCAAACCTTTTTCGTGGAATCGAAGGTGGGAAAGGTGCCGAGTGGCTTACGCAAAACGGAGGACCGGCGGTTTGGGGAGGGGGATTCGGGTGGTCAGCATCTTGATTCCACTCTTGGCCTCTGGCTTCCTTTTGCTCGCTGTGATGCAGGCCTACCTTACGCCGGACGACTCCGTCAAGGGCAGGGCAGTGACGTTTCATCCCACCATCCCTCTCGGTCGCTGCTCGAAAGTATCAAGCAAGGGTTTTCGAAATGCTGATTTTATACTTTCTGTGGTTGTATAGGGCAGCATTGATGCGAGAAGGCTGGAGCCATAACAAAGACGGGGCGGACCAATCCTCACATCCGTTATGCCGGTATCCCCAGGAGTGTGATACATAGCGAATCTTGATACTCTGTCTAGCCAGCCGTCGGTGATACTCGAAACGGGAGGTTTCAAGTCAGCCGTTGGATACCTCTGAAGACTCAAGATATTGTTTATTGCGCAGTGCTGAGTGCCGCTAACGAGTCCAGACGATGAACTCATTGTCGTGATCATCAACTGATATTGTTTCAATAGCTGGGGCCGATCCGAAATGGAGTCTCAACCGTGGGCTGGATGAAGGTATGAAGGGGTCCCCTGGTGAAGGAAGGCACCGAGGGATCCACGGATTGCCCGGACACGCGGCTTGCTATCAAGGACTCCCTTACGTCGCCAGCTGCGTAATCAGGGCACAGGCAACACCAGATGCGAACTTTGATTGTGGGGAGTTGGAGATGGTGGTTGCCCGAATTGTCGCTGCTTTTATTTGAGCCATCGTTCATTGCATCAGTTCCGTTAAACTTGGGGTGATGCTGTGGGTGGTGGCTGTCAATTTATTAACGGTCAGCTATTCAGCCACCCCCTCTCCCATTCACCCCGTCGCTGCACGTCACAGCCAAGAAGTATCTCGCTAGCATAAAACACGCCGAAAGGTACATTTTTGTCTTGTACTGCTCCCCCGTCCCTTCCACCCGATTTCTATAAGTCACACACGCCTGCCTCGCACACAAACAAAGGGGCCGGAATCCAGCTGCTTCCATACAAATCCATCTGCCGCCCTTTTGGTTTTCACCGGGGATCTCTCTTCATCCCCCAAACTTTGTCTCCCCAATTCTTCCCCACCGCCAAAACAACCAATGCTCTGAGCTCTGGACCGCGCCAAGACTGCACAACCAACTCGACTCCGCCAAACCAACATCCACAAGCGATAGCTCTACCCAGTATTTATCCAGACTCTACCCACCAACACACAGCCAGCAGACGCAGACTTGCTCCACGGCAACCACCCGACACCGCCTGCCTCTACATATCTTTACCGTACAGTCTTAACACGACCGACCGGCTGCACACACGCATCGAAACACGCCGACGACCTGCATATTTCTTACGCGCACGCACCAGAAACAAGACACCGACACCATTGGCATTCCTTGCCTTGGATGTGCTTCTAGGTCTGCTTCGGCCTTACCAGTATCAGCATCCGCATTGTTGTCCCCAAGATGTTGCGACGGCCGTCCGGCCACGTCGCTTGCCGGCCCGAAGTCATCTTGGCTTTCGCCTTCCTCCTAGTCAACTTGCAATGGCTCCAACTCGTTGATGCTCAGCCGCAGCGTCACGCGAGGTCTCCCCGCGAGGACGACGACCATGCCGCGCCCAACATTGCTACACTGTCCACCCTGACAGGAGGCCACCCCCAAGCCGTCATCGAGACGCCCCGAACTCACGGCCGTGGCAAGCGGACCGTAGTCGAGATCGCCGACGGGCCCAAAACCGAATCTATCCGATTGAGCTATCATGCCCAATCCGACAACAACAATAACAACAACCATGCCGACTTGATTTCTAACAATGTGCGCGCCAACGCTCTTGCTCCGGACTCGTCCGTTCGAGCACCTCCGACCCAATACAACAAGGTCGGCTCCTTGGGGGCCGAGCTCTCGCAGCACCAGATTGCGCGGAGCTTGGAGGACTGGGAAGTGGAAGACTTTGTGCTTCTGGCGACCGTTGACGGAGATCTGTATGCCACCGACCGCATCCGTGGCGAGGTGCGCTGGCACTTCAAGGCCGACCACCCCATGGTGGAAACTCGGCACTTCCGAACCACCCTCTCCCCCGTCGATGAGGACTACCACGAGATTGATCATTGGATCTGGATCGTGGAGCCTACAAGGGACGGCGAGATATACATCTGGAGACCGAGCGACTCGGGTCCCCAGCTGACCAAGATGACCATGACCATGAAACAGCTGGTGGAAAACTACAGCGGCCTCCATATGAACGGGATCGTTTACACCGGCGAGAAGCGGACCAACATGGTGACCCTAAACGCCGCGACCGGCGCCATGATCAAGAACTTGGGTCCCAGAGGTGTCAACATCAATAAGATTGAGTCC